GTAACAAAGGAGAAGGGTGTTCTAATTAATTATTCTTTGTAACTGAAATTGAGAATCGCCAACCTGAGAGTTAACAGTTAACACTTAAGGCTGATGGGGGCCTAGTTTAATATTTGATTTAGACTGTTGCAGACTACAAATACAGGCATAACTTGGAGATATTGTGGGTTCGGTTCAAGACTACCACAGCAAAACAAGTTATTTCAATAAAGTGACTTGTAATCTTTTTGTTGGTGGAGGGCCTGGCCTTCAGTTTGTAAAAAATGCAACATCTGTGAAGTACACTAAGCGAAGCACAGCAAAATTAGATATGCCTGTGTTTTCTGTATTTTAGTGGTAAATGGGGTAAGAGACCTTTTGTGGGTAGAATGTCAGGTGATTTACTTGTTGGAATTTCTAAACACAATTTGTCAGGTGTGTATTTTCTTTGCAGATATTTTTCCTTAACTCTCTTTTTAAAGTTACTTGAAGCCCATCCTCACACACAGTGGCCCCCCATTAACCACCACTCTCCCAGCCTGGTGTGGCTTGCTCGCTCACTGTCTGACCAGTCCCCAGGTGTATGACGTAAGTAAAGCATATCAGGGCTATGTTCCTGTTCAGCCTCCAAATTAACAGATTTCACTTCTCCAATAAAATCATTACAAATGGCCAACTTACATATGCTTAATACATTTTGCACAGCAACAGAGAAACCTTTTATTAGAGTTATGGGGTTCCCAAACATCAGCAGCTATGGCGTAGTAGAAAGAACAATGGATTTGGAATCAGTACAACTAGATCGATAGATTAAAAAGTTAGTTTTATAATTTCCCATCCTGCTAATAGTTTATTTAATAAAAACTGTCACTTTTCTGAATGTTGAATAGTTTGCTCAGTTTGGACCTCTGTCTAAAGTGACAGAATGAGCCATTTGGATATTTTTTTTTTTATAATTAGAGACAAAGGGCACTGACCTGGCATTGCCACTTGTCCCACTATTGAAGCTCCGACTGATTGCACCCTTCAGTCTTATGTTTCATTGGGTTTATGTGTTTCTTTGCCTTCTAGCTCTAGTCTTTTAAACAGTTTCTAAAGGTTTTCATCTTAATTAGATTTTATAAGTGTCACTTTTCATGTTTATGTAGTAGTAAAAGAACTAACTCACTATTAAAACTATAAAAACCTTATCTAATCTGAAGCTTACCAACTATTCTCTTGCTCAGTGATTAAGGGCATCTGGACTAGTTGAATTCAGCATAAACTCAATAAACTTCCAGGCACTTAAGTTGAAAGTCCCTCACCAGTTCGAGAGTCTACTCACGGTTTGCTTCCTGGGGTAATGTTTGGGCTATGGACTTCCCACAGCTGTACAAGATAGGGTGACTTGGGCTACAAGCAAAAATCACTCTCCATACTGCTGCTGCTTCTTTGGGACTGGGGTCCTGACCAGGGTCTCAGTCAGCTCCAGATATAGTGAGGTCTGCTGCTGAGAGAGTGGGAGCAAAGAGTCTTTGAAACTTAACTGAGGAACCCAAAGGTGAGAGTGTAAGGGCTCCCTGTGGAGTTAAGTTTTGGGTGAGAGTCTCAGGCTGGTTCACTCTCATGGCTGTTTGACACACTGTTGTGTGGTCCTCACTTATCAGGTATAGGGCATCTGTACTTCACTAAGTTTATCTGGGAAATATCTAAGATGTTCATTTTTTTACCATTTCCATGAACTCCAAACCACTTAGGTTTAATAACAACTTAGAAAACAGTATTCTTCCACTTATGAAAATAACCCTGGTTATTTAAAATACACGTGTTCCCACAACACACTTTTTTGCAGGGTTATTTTGCTGCATTTTCATAGCCTGCAATGAACAGCTAGTTATATAATTATACAAACATTTAGCTTAACCAAACTTTTGTTGATCTTGTCATCTACAGTTTGAGGGAGTGGATTGCTTTCATCATTTGTATATAACATTCATTAAGCTATGACTTAGAAATCCCTCTCCACTGGATTTTACTATATCCTTGTTTCTGAATGACCTTTCCTTGGGTACTATTTGTTTGGGCTCATGAATTTCGTAATGAAATGGGTCAACAGCCAGTCTTGTTTTCTCCTGTCAGTGAATTTTGGTCCCGCTTCCCACTATGAGGGAGCAGAGTGGGCCACACCGGGGGTCCCGTTTAGGGTTCCTCTGTGCTACTGTGTGTGCGTGTTGGGGTGGGGGGATTGGTTACATTTGCACAATTACCCTCATATGCAATTGTTTCAGATTCCTCTCTGTCCCTCCCAGGCTTCAAACCTTGGAAGAGTGAAATACGTGCCAGGAGAGTCTCCCCCTGAAATTTGGGAACTAAGAGCCCTGGGAGAGGTATTTTGACAGAGATGAACAAAATCATTACTTAGCACATGTATAAATGAGAGAAATGGAACGTGCTAAAACAGGGAACATGATGTCATTTGTTATTAAGAAAACTATTCACAGGGCAGATAATGTTTCAGGACTTTCTCAACACTGATGTAGAGGAGGAAATTGGGGAGTTTGGAGTGAGTTTTAGAATTACACTCTGCCTGACTAAAAGATTCTTGTTTAATTGTACATTTGTACCCTGCCTCATTCCAGTGAGGATTTGAGGCAGCAAGCAAGCAGAGTTGCATATTTGCCTGTTAAAAAAGCCAGAGCATTAGTTAAACGGAGTCACATTATGGAGTTTGGAGAAGTCGATATCACTGACAAATAATGCAGAAAACAAGCATGTGCTTGTTACCGGTAAGGGCACAGAGATGGGCTGGGACAGGAGAAGCAATGCAAGCAGAACCTAGGAGTCCTCCCTAGGTCGGTGCATTTAACAGGCATTCATTTAGCACCTACTATGATTTAAGTATCCAAGGAAGGGTGCCAAGAAGAGAAGAAGGAAGTCACTGCCCTCCAGTGGTTCCTCATCTAGATGAGGAGTCCAGGCATGGATGCAGGAGAATCTGCCTGTGGTTTTGAGCAGTGTGACTGAGAGGGAACCATGAGGCTGTAAGAGAGGCATGTTTGGGTCCTGCACTGAGGAGTCCCTGTCGTGTAGAGGACAGGATGCAGGACTTCAGATATGCTTTGAAGAGTAGATGGGAAATAGGAGAGAAAGCAGTTTTAAAACTGTTTGCTGTTCAAGAAGTTCACACTGTTTGGCAGCCCTACAGTGGTGGAGCAGGGGAGCATACCACCCCTTGTTTTGCTTGTCGAACCCACTGGAGAGTGAAAAGTTCTGACCTCATGCTGCTTCCTGACACTCTCCCTGCTGTCTTTTAGTTTCAAGTAGCTGCCACTTAGCTGGTGCTTGCCTTGTTCAGCTTTGTCTGTTGCTTAGCTTGAGATGGCATGCCAGTTTTCTTCCCAATAGAGTGCCTTTTCACATCCTTCGTATGGGTAAAACCAGTCTGGAGGCAGCATAAGTCCTAACCATGCTTCTAGATGGACAACTTCCGGCAAATTTCACAGAGAACTCCTAGCTCAGATTTTCTGCTCTGTGACATGAGTGTTTGCACCCATCATAGGAGAGGAATGAGGACCAAATGAAAGCTTATGTGATCTTGCTGGCAGGCATGTAACAGATGCTAAAGAAAATGTAACCTCCTTCTCTATCACTTGCTTCATCTACCTGAGGGCTTCGCATCAGGGTTTTTCTGTGTGGCCAGGAAGGAAATCCTAATAATGGGTTGTCTTCTTTCTGTTGCTGACTAGGACAATCAGTAGTTCAAATGTAAACTACGTGGGTTTAGGATGGTTTGTGTAGGTCAGGAAGCGCACCCAGAAGACCTTCCCAGAGAAGAGAGGACCTGAAACCTATTTGCAGGTTTACCCTGTGACCTTACCCCTTCCTTTGTGAGTTGGGAAGCTGAAAATCCAGGTTGATCTCCCTTTCTTCCCTTTTGTCACTAACCTCAAGATGTCAGGCATTTAAAATCAGAGCTGCTTTCTGCTGTTCCAAGTCCTAGCTCAGACAACAGTGCCATACATTGACTTGTACTCTACAGTTCACATCCAGTTAGTACGCTAGAGGCTCAATGTAGGCAAGTTTCATTATCCCCAGTTTCAGATGAGGAGTTGAGGTTGGGGTTGGCTGGAAGTCCAGAAGATTCTAGTCTCCCATTTGTTGTTGTTTGTTGCATTTTTCAGAACCAAGAGCCACTGAGAGAGGAAGACTCTGATTTCATCCTGACTGAGGGTGACCTCACCTTGACCTATGGAGACAGCACAGTGACTGCCAATGGCTCCTCAGGCTCCCACACAGCCTCCACAAGCCTCGAGGGTGGTCGGAAAACAAAGAGCAGCTCTGAGGAAGTACTGGAACAAGATCTAGGAGTGGGAGACCAGAAGATTTCAAGCCGAGGCACTCGCCTAGTGTTCCCCCTGGAAGATAATGCATGACTTCCTCCCAAAACCCTGAAGCAATGGGGTAGGCCCACCAGTGGGGCGAGGCTGGCTGCATGCTCCAGTTGTTTGAAGTGGGACGGTGACTGAATGGAACTAACACTTCTATTTTATTGAGGTCTGAAGATATCTTAACATTTAAAATCTAACCTGAGATGCAGATGGTGGGGCTCAAGTGTCTCTAAATCAAGACAAATGCAGACCTATTCCCACTTTTTCACATAGTAGTATGCTGTTTAGATTTAAACAAACAAACAAAAAATAGCATGCTTAGGTGGTCTCTTAATTCATTCATCTGCGGTATCTGAACAAGGTGTGACAGGTGCCGGGGATCCCTCCCAGTAGAGGCTTCATGTCCATACACAGCAGTGCAACTCTTTCCGGCTGTAGTAATATCAAGTGAGGGAGAACAGGCTAGAAGAAAGATCATAAAGTAAGGCAAGTGAAATTGGACCTCCAAGGATTAGGAGAAACTGGTGTGTTAAATGGGATGGAAAATATGAAAAAATCAATTTGAGTGGAGGCTCCAGCAATGAGGGTTGTGTGGCATCACCTCATCTCAGGATTCCTGACTACTTTTGCTACCTGTGTTTTCTCTAGACTGAAGATTGGAAAATATATCCATGAACATTTTAACATGGGGAAAGAATTTTAATTTCTTCTCTGGCAATCTCCATAAAGAAGTTACTGAAACGTTGAAAACCAAAGGCAAAATAGTGTTATACTGTTGTTTTTTAATTAATGTGAAGGCAGGAGAAACTGTTTAAAAACTGGTGATGATATCACTGCAAAATTCAGTGAGTTCTTAAGGGCTGCCATATGAACTAACTGCCTTGGAAGTGATGAACAGGACTGAGATATCTACTGTGGGTTTAGAAATAACACCAAAATTTGTGGGGTACTTTGATCTAGGGAAGAGAAGGCAGCAAGAAGCCTAAGAGGTAATAGGCTAGTATTCAGAGGGAAACAATCTCACAGCAATAATAATGATAATAACTGCAAAGAAAACACAAGATAGTGTTTAAAGACTAAATAGAATTCCAAACTTCAGGCTAAGAAATACACGAGATTTTGGTGGCCACCTGAGGAATCAGAGGCAAATCAGTAGAAAGTAAAGCATTATTCAGTCCAGTGGAAGGTTCTGTTTAATATAAGATTAAGAATCCAGATATTTTGACACTGCCATATAGAGAAGGGTCATTTTCTTGGTATCTAAGGAGGCTTGCACCAATGCAATGCATGAGTGTAGTCTGAAAGATAGGTCTTTAGTTTGGGTTCTTTGTGGATGAGCTATTCTACCTGACTACACCTTAGTAGGCAAAATACTGAGTTATGTGGAATGAACTCTTGGAAACCAAGTTTGAGATTCCTCCCGTGTCTCTATGCTTCAGTGCTAGTATATTTGAAAACACAATTTCTAAAAAATGCTTTCATTAAATTATGGCAGACAAAATAGTGGCCTGCTCTAGTACACCCAGAATGAAATCAGCCATTTTAACTCACAATTTTAATGGTTAATTTTTAAATAAGACATTTTCTTTTTCAATTAATAATTTGTGTAAACCAGGAAAAATGTATTATTAGGTTGAACCATATGAACTTGCTGGTATTTGACCATTTAAAAGAAACAAATGACAATTTTATGTGGTTCAATGTAATAGAATTGAATGATTTTTTCCCCCTCTCTATCTATATTTAAGTTCTTTTTTTTTTTTATGGTCATCCATGGGCTTCGTAAGTTTGGGGGAAACAAGCTAAAAAACTTACCTAACTCCATGAGATTTGGGGTACCAAAGCTACTGAAGAACTTAAGAAAACCTATAATTCACACCTAGAGAAACAGTTTTATTAAAAAGCCCCTGGACAGGAGGTCAGACTGCAGTAGAGAGCAGCAGCTAGGCTTGGCAGAAGGCCAAGACCAAAATTTAGCTAGGGTTGTAGTTATTTGGCTGGATGTTTTTTTATTCAGTGGATCAAAGTAAGTCACTGACCTATGGTAATAATTTTTGATTGTAAGATGTGGAGAATAATGCTGACTTTATCAGAGGTCCTGGAGTATGAAGCCATTCACTGAAATGTTTCCACTCTAGAAGCATTATGCCTATGCTGAGTAGTGAAGTAGGGTGCCACGAAGCCCAACAATCATCAAACTCAAGGCTGACTATCTGTTGCCAATCTGGCATAAACCACATTGAAACTGCCAAGCGATGGTACATCTAACTAAACAAAGTTCCTTTGAGAGGGTAATCCAAGTCATTTTATAAACATATTTATTTTGGGTTGGGGATGGGGAATGACAGTTCAGCAGAGTGGGATGTGCTAGAAGAGAGGTTCTCAACCCTGGCTGTATATTAGGATTACCTGGCCCATTTTTTAAAAAAAATATAAAAACAAGGCCGAACCCTCAGATATCCAGATTGGGTAGATTTGGAGTGGGGCCTGGCTTCCATGCTGTATTTTGGATCCTCAGGGATTCTAATCTGCAGCTAGGGCTGAGAGCATTTAGTCTAGAACTTGCAGTGGACCTTATTTGGAACCTTAAAGAACAGCCTAGCAAATTAAGTTTTTAAAAATTTGTTAGTTATGTGGAATGAACTGAGTATTGATCAATAATGCAGACTGGGTAGCTGTGAGTGAGTTTCGTACTAATAATCTTTGCAGAACTCAAGAATGTACTCCATAAAGTACAACTGCACACAGAAAAGGTCATGTTTGGAAACCTTAGAGCATGAGAAGGATGACTTGAGTGTATGTATGGGGGTGGGATTAAAAACCTGTTATCTTTGCCCCCATTTGTGGAAAAGAGGGTTTTGTCTCAACTGAGCTGCTGACAAATGTGAAGGTTAGTGAGAAGCTCTCTTTTCTATTTAATCTGGGATTAAATTAATAGTCTCCTTTGCAGTCAATTGAACTTTCCCTTCACACTTCTCTTGTCCCCATGCCTGAATCCACACTGGACTCCTCAGAATAAGAATGGGCCATTTACTGCCAGAGCAGAGGCCACATGTTAAGTGGAAGGTTGTGATTACTTTGCTTTCCCACAGTGATGTCGTTGGTAGCTGGTAATTAAGGAGATGCAAACTTCTGTGTAGCACTGACAAGAAAGAAGATATAAACTCCTGCCCATTCCCTTTTAATATTCTTTTGGGGGACTACAAGGAGACTTCAACTCTCCTAGAGAAGGAAATTTGGAATTTAAATAAGGCTGTATTTCTTCCTAGGAAATAAGTATAGGAACAGCATATATGATTAAATGGACTCTGATCATCCAGGGTACTTACTGGGGTGACCAGACTAATAAACACTGGTGCCTTGCAGCCAAATATCACACTGTGACATCAAATGTTTCATCAAGCAAACAGCAAGGAGCTCTTTAGGCTGTGACCCCTAGACCTGAAAAAAGTTTTCTGTGGTTTGGTTGACAAATGAAATTTTAGAAAACACCAAAAATATTATTTTAGCTATCCATGAATACTTCAGTCTAGGGCGAAGAGGTTCCTTCCAAAAGAGGTCTGTTTCACATTCTCTCCTCCCATCATATGTCTTCCTTTCTCTGTCTGTAGTGGAAATTAATGTAATCATGTGAGATATTTAATGTAAACAAAATGATTTCTAAATGTAGAAACACCACTGGTGCACTTAGAGGAGGTCGGTGGCAGGGCAACTGAGCAACTCATCAGAAGGGAAATCATCTGGTTGGAAACCAACCTTGGTACCCATTGTTGAGTTCTAAGAGGTGCATCCGAAAGCCGATTTTATCATCTGTTGTCAAGTGTAATCTGGAATGAGGCTGCTAGAAAGTCAGCTTGCTGATTCAATAAGCATATGACTTTTTATTCTACTTCAGAAATGGGGAACTTGACAAGTTTTATGCCTGTCTTTGGTGTTGATTCTAATAGATGAATTAGAGTAGGAGCTAGTCTGTCAGATATTTTAAACTAAGATCATTGAGTTCTGATCTCTTCTGTTGTTTTTTAAAGGAGAATCTGGCTTGCCAGTGTCAGTTGCTATGTTCTGACACAAGAAATTGAAGGAATCCAGTGGCCAAGAGTTAGAGTATAGAAACAACCCATCTGAATGCTGCTTTCATCACTTTGATACCTGAAAAAGACCTTCCCCCTTTCTAAAGCCTAATAAGAAAAACATACATATAGAAAAATACTCTAGAAACCATTGTGAGTGTCTAACTAGAAAAAGCAAGTAGGCTATTTTGATAGTCCTTTCAAAACAAGACTTAGAAATAAACCATTTTTTCCAGTTTCAATTTTCATAAGTAGAGTCTTTTTTTTTAAATTAAATCTCATCACCCAGTGCTAGCAGAAATTGTAAAGAGCAAAACCAAAGTTTTTTATGTCAGTTTTATTTTTGTAAGCAGGATATACTATAACCATGGCCCACATGGAACATGCAGGCAGCCAGTTTTCTGCTATCTGAGCCTTGGAGAAGATGAGAAGGAATGTCAGCCTATTCTGCCTTTTGAAAAGGTCTGAAACAGACACAGAGCACTTGGGAGAGGTCACCTTCTCATTCTGATGGCTACCTTTTAAAAAGGGTTAACAGAATTGCCAAATACCATGGTCAGCTCAACCACTGGCCAGCAGAAAATAATCTAGGCTTGTATATGTTGGAGGAGCTCAAATAGAAAGGACTTGTAAACAGCATGAGGAACTCTACATCTGCTGTCTAAAACACTTAAAAAAGTTAAGATCCCAGCGTTACTGGGTGGTTATATAACTGCATGGACACTTGGGGGTTAACTTTTGTTGATTATTCAAATTATGGGCTTTGGAGAAGCCTAGGAACAATTTTCAGTTGTGTGGGTGTTAAGTCTATGGATTTGGAATTTATCACTGAAATCAATCATTCAAAGTGTGACTTCATAGTAGAGTCACTTCATCTTAGGTTGTCTTTTAATTTTTTATATAAAATGCATATGGTACTTCTTACTTAGGAAGTTTTACTATGTTCATTAAACTTATTAAAAGGGAAGGCCACCAAGATTCATTTAATAGCTGAACAGCAATTTTTAAAATAGAATAGGATGAATTTAACATGGGATGATGTAACCTTCCAGGGAACTTTTTATAGAGAGCTTACATACTGTAATTGGGGAGAATTTTGTCTTCTATTCAACAGTGGCAAACTGGTGGTTTTATAAAATTAACTATATTATGTTATATAAACATGTTATATAAAATAATGTTAAAATATATATACCTGTGAAAAAGCAAAGTCTTGGCATTATCAGCAACCCTTATGTACAATAAGGAAAACTGCAGTTAGGCCCCAAAGTGCTACCTTTCCCTAGCATCCTACTTAATGTTTGCCTTTGTGTCTATGTTTAGATTGATATTGTAAAGCTAGCCACATGTTTTCCTGCCCTTGCTGATATTTAACACATTTTTCTCAAAGCTTTTTTTTTT